GTTCAGTATCAAAAAAAAAAATCTCACTCAGCGTTGTGCCAGGTGAGCTTACCTTGTTTCCTCTTATCCTTTCACTCACATTAGTGACAAGTGGATAATTTTCTTTCCTTTAATAGGGAAAGGGGAGGTTTCTTCAATCCTGTTTGCCAATCAACACCTGCTCTTTAGAAACAGAGTAACTTTGTTTGTGTAGAGGAAGTCCTAGACCAGCCCTGATTCGAGGCCCTGGGCTGGAGTCGGCAAGGATCTTTCAGAGCAGCAAGGCAGACAGGCTCCTTGGTCTGCAAAATGGTACTCACTGTTCCACAGTGAGATCTGTGAATGGTTTATCAAGGGCAATGTGCTTACAGAATTGCATGATTTCTCTGAGTTCATCTCTTAAAAGTATGGTTCATTAAAATGTACATGCTGTGTATTGTCCAGTTATATAGTTTTACCACTTTTTTGCCCTACCTTGGTGTTTTTAAATATATCTTCTATCAGAAAAACAGATATGAGCTGGTTTACAAATTAAAATGACCTCATATGCAAGCTTTTCCATTCCAACAATTGTTCTTCAGTTGTTTATAAGAAGTTCATGAAATCCAAACATCTGGGAACATTATGTTTCCTTTTGCTATGGTCATCCTAATTTCCATCAGCACTTCGTGAAAGAAACAGGTCCTTGCATATTTCTTGCTTTTTGGTCCTGTTTCCAAATGAATCTCCTGCTACTAGAATGGAAAGAAAACCTAATACTGGTGGCCTTAAAAGCCTGTCTCTCTCTCTCTCTTTAATTAAGGGGAACATTGTTTTGCAGTCTCTCCACTTTTAGGTCTGGTTCATTTCCCTTTGAAAGGCAAGCAGATGAAGTCACCTGTGAGGGAGTAAATTTATGAAGTCCTATTCATTTTCTTTATCTGACTGGGGTAGCTGTGTTTGGGAGGCAATTCAGGGAAGCCAAATTGGAGGGGCGGTGCATCATTGTGGGGTAGGGAGGGAGCTCGTGGAGAGGAGTTGATATGGTTATGATTGCAAATTTCTTGGAGTTGTAAAATTATATCGATGACCTGGATAATTTTTTTGGTTCCAGGGATCAAACTCGTGTCCTTGCCCTTGCATAGCAGGCAGCGAAAGCACTGAGCTAAATCCCTGGCCCTGGATAATTTTTAAAAAATGAAATACAATGAAACTAGGAGGCTTTTATTTTTGTCATGCTTAGATTTTTAAAATTTTTGTTTATTTATTTATTTTTGGTTAGCTAAGTTGCTAAGTTGCCCAGGGTGGATTTGAGAACTTGTGCTTCTCCTGCCTCAGCCTCCTGGAGTTCGAGGATTACAGATGTGCAGTTTTCTAATATTTACAAAACTACTCCTTGGTTCAGTCAGAGTGACTCTAACTGAGCCAGTGTAACTGCCTCAGCTCTACTAAGCCAGCTTTTTGCTTAAGTTTCTACGTGGAGCTAAAATGCTGAGCTTACTCTTCAGCTCTCCTGGGGCTTCTCCTGTCCAGGTCTTTCTATTCTTGACCTTTCCCAGCTTTGCCTTGGGGAAAATGCCCTTGAGTCAGAAATGCCTCTGAGTTGTTGAGTGTTTTTCCTCTTTTGTTTTTGTTTCTTCTTGTTAATTTATTTTAAAATTAATTTTATTGGTTTTAGATATACATTTTGATAACATTCATTAAAAGGAATTTGTACATGTACATGATATATCTTAATTGTTCTTTTTTCTCATTCCCCTCCACTTTATTTAATCCTTCTCCTCCTCCTTATTTACAAAAGCTCTGTTTCCACTTTCTCCTTCTATTCTCTTTTTTCCTTTTTCCTCTCTTCCCCCCCACCCCTCTGGTCCCTAGAACCCCTTCCCATTTGAATATTTTCTTCCCATTTTCCAATATCTAGCATACATTTTGGTCTTTATTTACACTTTTGATTTCTTACACCAGAGAAATCATGGAATATTTGGTATATGTGCTGCCGAAGCGAGCAAATTTTTAATATTTTTTTCTTTTTTTTTTCTTTAGTGCTGGGGATGGAACTTGGGTCCTCGCATTTGTGAAGCAGGAGGCGGAACCACTGAACTAAATCCCCAGCCCAACCATGGAATATTTGAACATGTGGGTAAGACTTACTGCATTTAAGAGTGTGGTCCCAAGGTGCATCCATTTAGCTATAAATGTCTCAAGTTTATTCTTCTTTATGTCAGAGTAGTACTCCATTATTTAAAAGAAACACATCTAACCTATCTAGTCATCAGTTGATAGGCATTTGGGCTATTTCCAAGATTCAACTATTGCAAACTGTGATACTATAAACAGGGGTGTGCATACGTCACTGTGGTATGCTGCTTTTAATTCTTTTGGGAAGATTCCAAGAAGAAGAATAGCTAGCTGGGTTAAATGGAACCTAGAGGTTCTTAGTTTTTTGAGGCATCTCCACAGTCAAATCGGAAATATTACAAAGAATCAACAACTGGGATCTCATCTTATTGAAAAGCTTTTGCACAGCAAGAAACCGCCAACTAGTAAAAAGTCAATGCACAGAATGGGAAAATATTTTGCCAGCTGTTCCTCAGACAAAGAACAAATATCTAGAATATTTAAAGAATTCAGAAAAATCAGGACTCCCTCATTTAAAGACCTAATAAAAAAATGGACATCTGAAATGAATAGACCTTTGTTAGATGAAGAAGTAGAAGCAGCAAATAAATATGTGAAAAAATGTTCAAGATCACTGGTCATTTGAGAAATGCAAATTAAGACAATGCTGAGATTCCATCTCATTTCAGAAGGAATGGATAGTACCAAGAAATCAATAACAAATGCTGGCGGCGCTGTGGGGAAAAAGGAACCCTTCTCCACTGCTGGTGGGAGTGCAGACTGGTGCAACCACTGTGGAAATCAGTGTGGAGATTCCTCAAAAAACTGAAACTAGAGGTTCCATTTGGTTTTGTGTCTGTTGAGAACCTCTAATCAGATATTTTTGCATGCTTGCTTTCTTTTTTCTCTAGATTAGATTTCTAGACTGTGGAGGTGGGGCTATGTATTCCACCCTCAGCACAACCTTCTGGTTATAGATTGTTTGGGTTAGCAAATGGTACCCAACAGCCAGAGTAAATCGTGTAACAGGCCCACTGAATGTTTTTGAAAATAAAGTTTTATAGGAATACAGCTGCACCTATTTATCTATGTATTGCTAAAGGCTCTTTTTAAATTCATAGTGCTAAGTAGTTGCTGTTGAAATTATGTTGTAGATGCTCAAGTCTAAAACATTTATAATCTGTTTTGTTTTGTTTTCTTGTGCTGAGGGTGGAACCCAGGGCCTCACACAGAGCCACATCCTTACCATTTTAATTTTTTATTTTGAGACAAGATCTCACTAAGTTGCCTAGGTACAACATGAAGTGAGATCCTCATGACTCAGCCTCCTAGAGTGCTAGGATCACAAATATGTGCCACCACTCCCGTCAACATTTACAGTCTTGTCTTTTACAGAAAAGGTTTGCTGACCTGTACTGTCACTAATGCCTTGTACATCATAGGCACCCACAAGAATTTTTTTCTTCAAGGCAAAAATCGATCAGATTCTAAAGGAGCTTTCAAACCAATTATTCTCTACTCAAGGGACTTATGGTCTTGTTTTATACTTAAGGAAGATTTAATAAAACTGCTTATAAGAAAAAGATATGGCTGGTGAGAAAAAAGTTTTCATTCATCTATTAACATGAAATAACCCTGCTTCAAAGGAAATAAGAAAGTAGTTTATTCTGAATCAAATATGTGTAACCATGGCCCAGGAACATGGACACAAGTTACCACTGATGACGGGTCCCATCGTGGGAAAGGTCAGAGAACTTTTATAGTCACAGAACACAAGAACGTCATAAGTCAATACATTTACCAGTTATATTGGTACCAATGACATCAGGCTACAGGAAAGTAAAGAAATCTCTTCTATAGATTTCAGATGTTCCTTTATCACATCTTAGCTTTAGGGGTGATGGAGGCTGGATGTCTGTTAATCTTAGCTGTACAGTCCAAAATCTTTATCCTGATGTCAGGAGGGTGTTTGGACAGATAGAGATGTTGATAATAAATGATCAATAAGAAAGACTAAAGCCAGGTGTGGCAGCATACACCCATGATCCCAGCCACTTGGGAGGCTGAGACAAGAGGATCCCAAGTTTGAGGCCAGCCTGGGCAATTTAGCAAGACCTTGTCTCAAAATAAAATGAGAGAGGGGACACAGCTTAGTGGTCGAGAGCTTGCCTAGCATGCATGAGGCCCTGGGTTTTATCCCTCACACTGCCAAACAAACAGTGTGTGTGTGTTTGTGCGTGTGTGTGTGTGTGTGTGTGAGAGAGAGAGAGAGAGAGAGAGAGAGAGAAGCAAAGATAGACCAAGATAACTTGATCTGTGACATTCCATCCCTGCACAGTTACCATTCCCATCAGCTAAGGTCAGTTGGCAGCTCCTCAGTACAGAAGATCTCACTACATCTGAAAAGATCACTTGATCTGGATCTGGAAGGAGCTCGATAACATCTTGGTCCTCTTCCTTTAGTTTTCCTGCCAGATCTAGTAACTGTGAGTTGTCTCTGGTGCGAAGCAGGCTGGGAGTTAGGCACATTACACACTCTCTCTCTTTCTCTCTCTCTGTGTTTCCGTTCCTTGTCATCAGCTTTAGGAGGACTTTCTCGTGAGGAATCTATTTTCTGGTATAGGAGGGATCTCTTCTGGAGGGACAGCAGACTGGGGTTGTGCTTCAAGATTTTCAGCCTCACTTTCACTAGATGCAGTTTTCTTACTTTTCTTTCTTGTGTTTCCGGGAATTTTTTCTGTTTCTTTCTTCTTTTTTTTGATTTCTCTTCAGAAGCGCTTTCAGGATCAGAAGACTCAGAAGGGGACTGAGAATCACTCGAACTACCTGAATTACTGGATGATGAAGAGGAAGAGGATGATGATTTATGCCTTTTCTTTTCTTCTTTTTTACCTTTAGATTTTTTCCTTTTTTTTTTTCTTTTGGTACCGGGGATCAAACTCAGGTCCTTGCACTTGCGAAGCAGGCGGCGAAACCACTGAGCTAAATCCCCAGCCCGTAACTTTAGATTTTGAGATCAGCTCTCCACAGCTGAGTATCCATCCGTACGTCAGCAAATGGTTGGCTAGCTGTGACTGTTTTCTGGTTTTCTATCTCTCTCACAACTTCTTGACCAGAGATCACTTGTCCAAAAACAACATGATGCCCATCTAAATGAGGGGTTGGTTTCGTTCCTCTGTTGTCCAAGGACAAAAGAAATTCTTTGTTGTGTTTAACAGCAAAACTCTCATCTTCAAAAAATCCTCCATAAATAGATTCTCCTCCTCTTCTGTTTCCTTTACTGAAGTCACCACCCTGAACCATAAAATCCTTAAAAATTTTGTGAAAAAGACAACTCTTATAAAGTAATGGCTTCTGAGTTGATTTCCCTGTTGCCTTTTCTCCTGTACAAAGAACGAAAGTTCTCGCATGTTTTGGGGCACACATCAGAAAATAATTCAAAGACCACTCTTCTAGCAGGTTGATTGTTAATGGCAATATCAAAAAAACATCGAGGACGCTCAACCTTTATTCCCATGGTTCCAATACTTCAGTCTTTAAATTGAGAAAAATAAAACACCAATGATAATTGAGCCAAGCCAATCTTTTTACTCTGTTCTGAAGCATCAAAAAGTCGGCCTAGCTCCCCAGAGTTCAGGCTGCCATCGCTACCGCCATATTACAGCTTACAAATAATTTTCAGTGTATCTACTCTGCCACCCCCAGCATGTCTCCAAAGATTTACTTTATAAAAGTTTCTGGCTGGCCATTGGTGAAGACCAAGTTCAGTAGAGATAGCTCTGCTTAGAGACAGTCTGTCATAGGTGTGCTCAGCTACAGTTGCAGTAAGAAGCTCTTGTTTCTTGTGCCATTAATTCTTGTTTTCGTGTTAATTTCTAACTCTAGCCATGACCACAAGAGCTCCAACAACATCCTGTGTCTCTACTGCTCCTCCAACACCAGCACATACACAGAGCCCCCAAACAGGTAAAATGTGAATTTAAGCCCAGATATCAGGCTGTAGAACATACAGGGCATTGTGTGACTCTTAAACACCTTCTGTCTGACTGATCTAAAAATGACTTCAATACAAATGCGAAATACATGTTTTAATCTCACAGATACATACTTTTCAACATAGCTTCTGCACTCCACGCCCTTTATAACTCCAAAGCCCTCCCCTGTCACACCAGCAACTTGGCCATTGGTAACACCAACTTCAGGAGAGATAGCCCTGCCTGGAGACAGTCTGGCATCAGTGTGCTCTACTACAGCTCCAGCAGGTGTTCTTGTTTATTGTTGCTCCATTAATTCTTGCTTTCATGTTGATGTCTAATTCCAGCCAGAACCAGGAGAGTTTCAGCAACTCCTCATGCCTCTACTTCTCCTGTAAGACCAGCACATACGCAGAGCTACAAAACAGGTAAAATGTGAATTGGAGGCAAGATGGGGGGCTTTAGACCACGTAGGGCCTTGTGTGACTCTTAACTCCCTTCCCTCTGATTGGTCTTGTAATGGAGACTTCAATGAAATATGAGAGTGGGGTTTTTTTTGGTTCTTGTTTTTTTGGTACCAGGTATCAAACTCAGGGCTTTGTGCTTGCCAGGCAGGTGCTATACCCTTGGACTATATCCTCCCCTGAGATTAGGGTTTTATTTCCTCAATAATTAATTTACAGTGGTGCTCCTCCACTTCATCCAGAGCATGTATTCGGAGCCCTCCCCTATGATGTATATTATTTGGCCCTTGGTGAAGACCAAGTTCAGAAAAGGTAGTCTGGCCTAGAAACAGTGTGTCAACGGTGTGCTCAGCTACAGTTGCCACAGAAGCTCTTGTTTTTTGTTCTCCATTAATTCTTGTTTTCATGTTGATTGCTAATTCCAGCCACAACCACAAGAGCTCCAACCTTATCCCATGTCTCTGCTGCTCCTCCAACACCAGCACATACACAGAGCTACAAAACAGGTAAAATGTGAATTGGAGAACAGAGGGGATCCTGGGAACCACATTGGGCACTGTTTCACTCTAAACACCTTTCCTCTGATAGGTCTTCTAAAAGAGACTTTAATGCACATATGAGTTATGGGTTTTTATCTCCTCAGTATTTAATTTTCAATTTACCTGCTGTACTTCAAAGCCAGCATATCTCCAAATCCTTCCCATATAAGAAGTTTTAACAGGCCATTTGCAAAAACCAAGTCCTGGAGAGATAGCCCTGCCTAGGGATAGTCTGTCATTCATGTGCTCACCTCCAGTTGCAGTAGAAGGCTCTTGTTTCTTGTTCCTCAACTAATCTCTGCTTTCATCTTGATTTCTAATTCCAGCCCAGAGGACAAGCATGTCAAGATCACCTCATGTCTCTATTTTTGCTCCTCCAACACCAGTACATACCCAGAACCTCAAAACAAGTAAACTGAGTATTGGAGCCCAGAGGCCTTCTCTTGGGAGGCTATAGACCATACAGGCACTGTGTCAAGACATAAGTACTGTCTAGGGCAAGAATTCTCACCTGGGTTTGAAACATGGGCTTCACACATTCCTTGTCCTCCACTGTTCTCAGATGATATGCACCTTTCACAGTGTAAGCATTTGAAGAGTACCTGGACCACTGATCTAGGACACCTTGTGTGGATCTCACCTACTTGGGCATGGCTCTGTGATGAGAAAATAGGGAAAGCCTGGGCACAAGAGCCTGTCTGATGAGTTTCTGGATCATGTAGTTCATTCTGAATTTAGGCCCTCCAATTAAGGATCATATTTCAATGACACTAATACTTGTGCTGCACACCATGCTGCATGCTTTAGAGTGTTATGCCATTTAATTCCCAGGATAGCTATGTCATTATAGGTGTGACTCACGACAATCATGTCATTATAAGAGTTTATAATGGTGGGAAATGAGACATAGGGTCTTTTTTGGTTTGTTTGTTTGTTTTTTGGTACTGGGATCGAACTCGGGTCCTTGTGCTTGCGCAGAAGGTGGTGAAACCACTGAGCTAAATCCCCAGCCCTGAGACATAGGGTCTTAAAGATCATGGTTAAAAATCATTAAGAAAAAATGTAGTCAACTTAGGATTCAATTTGTGTTCATTTGAATCTGAGGCCAGTGGTTTTAACTGATGGATCATCTCTCCTCTCACAAATACTGAGGTTTACATTTGAATGGATTTGTTGTGTTTTGACATCCTCACGGACAAAGACTACATAAAACTACCCTGTCTTTTGGGGACAGTCTGTGCCTGGCAGAGTTTTGCTTTAAGGACCCTTTATCTTAATTTATGTGGCATGGAGATTACAAATAATGGTTTGGTATGTATCCTTTTAAAAAGTAAACATTGAATTTAAAGAGTTCAGAGGTTTAGTATGTACATATTTATGTGGTCAAACCATGTTGTATTGTTCACACTTAAAATTCCCCACAGAAAAGAATTTAGACATAAAACAAATGGAAATGACTTACAGGTGAAGAGATAGCTTATCATCCCAAGGACAAGTTTAGGTTCAAATCTTCTATTTCCAGGATAAAAAGATAACTTTCAATGGAGATTCTCAAAGCCCCTTTGTCTTCTTGAGGTAGCCTTGCATTCAGAGCAGTAACAGAAATGTCACAAACTCTTAGCTAGAAAAATAGGTGGAATATACTGATTTCCCTTGACTCCCATTGAACCATCTGTGTATTTAACCACTAGTGATCTGAAGGATTGGGCTATGAGCTGAGTTTGGAAGATAGGGCTTTAGGGTTATAACTGGGATTTTAAAGCCATAAAAATTTGTCAGAGAAAACCAGCTTTGTTCCAGGCAGTTGAACACACTGGAAAATCTGGGAGACATTCTTAATACTGATTGAACTTTTTGATGCTTACTTTGTGCCTGTTAACTAGAAAGATTACTGGACTTGGTTTGGAAAATATGTATAATTTGTTGACTTCCTTGAAAACTGAGACATAGACAGAGATGGTGAATTATGTGTCCATATGAGCTAGGGTGTGTTCTTGGTTGAGTTTATTTGTTTTGTTTTGTTTTTTGTTTTCTTTTAGACAGGGGTTAGCTTTGCAGTTCAGGCTGGCCTTGAATTCACTGTGTACCCTAGCAGGTCTCAAAGTCCTGGAAATCCTCCTGTCTGCCTCCCAAATGCTGGGATTACAGGCATGTGCAATCACACCTGCCTTATTCTTCTCCTGATAGTTACCTAAACAGTATAAATTTAGATTGAAATGTATAGTACAGGGAGGAGGGGAGCACTCCAGCCAATCTAATGCAGGGACAATGATTTTTACATCCGCCTCTGCCTAGACTTATGTTAGCTGCCTAAAGTAGTCATGGAGTGCTCACTCCAGCAGCACATACTAGTCATGGAACCACTAGATGTGAAGTTGTAAAAGGCAGGGAGAAGGGCCAGGGATTTAACTCAGTGGTTCCATTGCCTGCCTCACAAGCACAAGGTCCCGAGTTCGATCCCCAGTACAAAAAAAAAAAAGGCAGGGAGAAGAGAAAGATGCCATAGAGGAAGAAATTAAGCTCAAGAGGAGATTTGTATAGAACTGAATCAGTGAACACTGACCATCTGACCCTTGCATTGCCTTGTTTTTAGTTCCTAAAGACAGCCACACTAGAGAAAACAGGAAAACAGTTCAGAGCATGGGAAAGGGTGAAGCTGAAATGTAAAGTTATCTAGACTGTGATGGGGAGGGAAACAGAAAGACTGGTGAGGAGCAATTAGGAAAGGCTGGACTGAGGAATTCTTATCCAGCCACCCCCATGAGTTTGACCCACAATTCTGTGGTGTTCTTGGACAAAGAGATCATGGGAAGACCTTATAATGACAAGTGAGCAGCTCTGCAGATAAGGCAAGCCATGCGATCAGAATAAAAGTTAAGATTTCAGGAGAGGAAAGCGACACATAGCTCTGTGTGAGAGAACTCTCAGTGGAATCTTTTGGATGATTAATGCAGGATGAGTCAGGAAATTACTCTTCAGAAAAGATGCCTAGGATGCACATGCAGAAGAGCTGGGACCAAGGTCTACCAGGGGCCTTGCTTTGAGGCTTGCAAATCATTACCTGGGGCAAGACATTGAGCGATATTGTCACCTTGAGGAGACATCGAGGGATCAAGTAGTGTACACACAATGAGTCAGTCACTATGTTTACCTCCCTGGACAGGTATGCAGACAACCTAGAAGGTGAATATACCTAGGAGATCCAGATGGAGACTATTATCAGTGGGCTAGGGCCGGTTAGTGGAAAGTAAAATGTCACTTGTGTAAATAGCATAAAAGTTTCAATCGTGTGTTCCACATGAGATGCACTGTTGTAGGCTTTGCATTTATAGGGAGGACTGGGCTCTGGGAGTGTAGCAAATAGGGAATAATTTTGTATATTGATAAAACTACAATATTTTATAGATCATATTTCCTATATGATAATGAAATAACTAGGTAGCAATTCAGTGTCTGGGGGCCATTTTAAAAATAAATTACTAAGGAGAATTAAAAGGGCTTGAAGTGAGTGGGTGGATATCACACCTCATGAATGAAGGCCTTGTGGGAAATTGATGGTCATTTACAATTTAGTATGTATGTACTTATGTATTTGCTTTTTTGAGACAAGGTCTCACTGTGTAGCTCAGGCTAGTCTTGAACTCACTATGTAGTCCCAGCTGGGCTTGAACTCATGGCAATCCTTCTGCCTCAGCCTCACAAGTGCTAGGACTATAAGTGTTCGCCACCATGAGTGACTTGTTTGTTATTTTTGTTGGCATTGAAAATTTCCCTCTACAAATAGAACATACTTTTTCCTTTGTTTTCATTCCAGAACCTACTCCACCTGTCTCTAGTCAAGCAGGAGAAACCCAGCCTACAACATTGCAGGAAACAAAGCCTCAGCTCACCACCTCCTCCCCAGACTCTGGCCCAACAGGTAACTGCATTCTCTCTCCTGAACCCTGGGAGCATGTAGATCATGGTAGCCATTGCCTTAACTAAGAGCATAAATTTTGGAATACAATGAATCTGACTTGAGTTGTGATTCTGTCCACTCTAGTCAACAATGTAACTTATACCGATGTCTTCCCTCTCTGAATCTGTTTTGTGATTTGTAAAACAGATGTAATGCACTGATGTGAAAGACTGATTATGAAGATTCAGTGAGATGAAGGGCTTGGACAGATACAAGCCACTCCACTAGCCAGAACATCCAGAATCCATAAGCATAGTACGGGACATCTATGTGCATATTACTCTACTGCTGTAAATCAAATCAACCAGTCTTGGCTCCAAGCTTGTTCCTGAGCTTGACCCCTCGGATGGCCTCCTCCAAGTCCCAGACCCTAAATATGCCCAGGAGGCCGCCCTGCTGTCAAGCTTGTATTCACATGGGCATTCTGAGGTGGTGCTGTGGACTGAGTATTCATGTCACTCCTCAATTTCATATGTTGGTACCTAATGCTCAGTGCAAGAGTTTCGAGAGGTGGGACATCTGGGAAGTGATTACTTCCTGTATAATAGAGACCAGAGAGGGCTTGTTTGCCCTTTCCTCCCCAAGGGGCTGCACTGAAGGTGCCATCTGTGATGAAGAAAACCCTCACTAGGTACCCAGTCAGCCTGCGTCTGGATCTTGGCCTTCTCAGCCTTTAGGTCTGAGACCAATACATTTCTTTTGGTTATCAGTGACCCAGTCCAAGGTATGTTGTTACAGCAGCCTGAGCAAACTAAGAAGGGCTGAAGGCACCAACACCAGCACCAAAGAGGCTGCCCTGAGGCCCGGCTTCTCTACATAATGCCCCAGTGCCCCGGTTCTGGGCTGGTCCCACTATTTGGCGATATAGAATGAACCTGTCTATCCTAGATGAAGAAAGGTCATCTCTCCCTGAAGCCTGTCACCTATCCCAACTAACTCCCTTTGTTACCCATAGTGTTAAGTTTTGAGAGCACCATGTGCTGAACTTCCTGTGGCTTAGAGCTGGTTTAGGTGTCCTTGTGCCTGTGTCATATCCAGAGAGATCAAGTCTTGCAGGGTAGGTCTGTGTATGTGCGTGACTCATTGTTTGAGGAGTCACCAAACTGTGGGTTCCCCACCCTTGTGGCCTTTCTTTCCCCACATTCCCGGAAACTGGTGACTTTTACAATGGACCTGCAGTGAGATTCGCACACAGTCAGTAGGGATTAGATAACGGTGATATTTGGGTCTGAAATTGGGGTCCTTACTGTGAACTGTTTCTGGGTACAAAAGCAGAATGGAAACTGATAGAAATACAGGGTAACAGCAGTAGGAGGAGCTGTACCCATTCTTCTAGGGTTGAGGAGGAAGAGAGTGGGAGCGGGCAATTTTTCTCTACAATATCATGTCATTAAAACCTGGTCCAGGTAGAGCTTTCCAGAGTGGAGCAGAACTTGGAGCAGCTCTGTCCCCAGGACTTTTGTGCCTGCTGACATTTTGGCGGAGTATCTGAGGCCCCTGGGCTAGGTCTTCATCACACCTTTGTCAGCCCTCTGTTGGTGAGAGCTGTACGGAAGAGGAGACTGTGGAGTCTGGAAGGCAGGTCACATGGCCTGCCACCCATGTGACAGAGGTGTGTGCCAGGAGACTTGCATTGTCTCACTGAATTCTTCCAAGGCAGGCCCTGTGTCTGTGACCGCCAGACTGGGAGAAGTGCTTTGGAGGGCAGCTCCTGATTCAGCTGCCATACCAGCTGCGTGCCCGTGGGGAAGTTGCTGAACTTTCCTCACTAGATGGTCACATGTTTGGAAAGTGTCCCTCCCTCCTCCTCATGGCTCCTTTCACCTAGTGATGATAAGCTGTAGCTGGGCGTGGTGGCGCAGGCATGTCACCCCAGCTACTTGGGGAGGCTGAGGCAGGAGGATCATAAATTCAAGGCCTGCCTGGGCAGTTTAGTCTCAAAATAAAAAATCAAAAAGGCCGAGGATGGGCCGAGTGTGGTGGCACATACACAGATGTAATCCCAGCACCCTGGGAGCTGAGGTGGGAGGACTGCAGTCTTCTCCTACTCTAGGCAACTTAGCGAGATCCTTTCTCAAACTGAAAATAGAAAAAAGGCTGGAGATGTTGCTCAGTCAGTTCGAAGGCCCTGGATTCACTACCCAGTACTGAAAACAAGCATGCTTTATACGCATCATCTAATTTGATTGTAACACATTTTAATATGTACTATTAATAGCTTGTAATTCAAAGATATCCAGGCTAGAAATACCTGAATATACACACACGGCTGCCTACATGTTTATGCAGAGGCCATGTTGCTAAGGGATTGAAATCAAATTCCCTCTGACTCAAGTCTGTGCAGTTTTTGCTGCAGTACCCAACCCAGTCTGACTTCTGAAGGTCTTACAGTCATCACCTGTCACACACAGAGCCCAGGCTCTGGATGCTGCCTTTGGCTCAGTGTGATGTACTCTCAGAATGAGTCCCATAGGAATGTAAGTAGAATTTTTTTTTTTTTGGTACGGGGGATCAAACTCGGGTCCTTGCACTTGCGCAGCAGGTGGTGAAACCACCAGCAGTGTGAGTCATCTGGTTTTGTTTGTCTTTATTGTGCAGTTTCCATGCAGGGAATATTTTAGATTTTATTTTGTTATTATAAGTTTTTGCATTTAACATTTTTATTTTAGACTGCAAAAACAAAAACAAGCAGACAAACAACAAAAAAATGTGAAATAGGCTCATCAAATGATGTAAAGTCATACTTTCCAGGAAAGCAGAAGGCAGACCCTACCACAAAGAAAAGACACTTAGTTAATGGATGTTAAATTTAGAAGTACACTAAAATAGTATCAGTTTAACTTCTGAAAATTCTAGGTTTTATTCCCTTCCCTGTGGTAACCATAACCATGTAAGTTAGACTTCCTTATAATTAACTATCATCTAAAATATAAAAATCCATTAATAAGCTAACAATTATCAGATTTGGTCTTACTGGAAATTCTTAACCACAAGTTTATTTTTTTTCCTTTGAATGATGAATTGTCTTAGTAAAAGTCACTGCATTTCTGTAACAAAAAAAATGAAAAGCACAACAATACAACCGACTTAAACCCACTCTACTACTAGCAGGAAAACTATTTTGGTTCTTCAGGAAAAACTTAATTTTCATAGTTATATTCCAATGATTATATGATGCAAAGAACCAAATTGCAGCAGTGAATGAACATGATTCAGAGAATCTGTTCATTCTATGTATCTGACAGTAGAACTATAGTTAAAATGCTAGTTAAACAAATTGGTCTTTAAAATACCAATTCCTTTAAAACATTACTGAGTCTACCAAGGAAATACAAAAACATATGGCTGTAAGTAAATAATAGTTGTTTTTAGGCCATTACAGTGCAGGTTATCCTCAAGGCCACATACTCCTGCTTCACTGCTGGTTGGACTCTGGTGGGCTTTGCTCCTTCTTTGGGTCATAATCTGAATCATTTTCCTCATCTCCTTCTTCTTCCCCTTCCTCATCTGCTTCCTCACCTTCGTCGTCGTCGTCATCATCATCATCATCATCATCATCATCATCATCATCATCTTCAATAGCTTCTTCAGTGAAGTCAACACCGATCTTGAAATTATACGGTCATGTAAAAAGTGACCAATTTCAAAGTCTGAAGCAAGGATAGCTTCAGCATCATCACCCAGATCTCCACTCTCAGGAACTTCATGAAGAGCAAAAAAAAATAAAGAAAGAATCATTGGAAACTGTTTTAGTCACAGTACGAACTGTCCCCCGACCCATATGTTTCTGCTTCTTTTTAATAGTTTTCAAAGTGACCTTCTTTCCTTTTTTCCAATCTATTTGGCACCCATAATTTCTGGTCCATCAAATGAAAAGGTATCAGAATCATCTGGTTCAAATCTCATCCTATACATCTTTGTCAACACTTCATTTGTGAAATTTTCATTGGGTTCAAAGTGAAATTCTAAGATAAAACTCATAGGCTGGCCATCTAAGAACTTCACTTTAATGTCCTTCAAATGCTTCAGAATAGGTTCATCATGTTCCTGAACCATGTCACTGAGCAAGTCAACATTCTTAAAAACAGTCAACCAAAATTCAGGAATTCCTTATGATCGTCTTTTTCTTCATCTTTTTTTTTCATCTTGAATCTTGGTCTTTTCTTTCAACTCCTTTGAAATTTCTTCTTCCTCATCTGGTTTCCACTCACATTCTTCTTCTGTGGGCTCATAAATTGCATTAATGATCTCAAATCACTTATCAAATAGAGGTTGGTAGAGAACTGCATATTTCCTTTCAAGATCATGAACTTCCTCATAGAATTTGGCTTCTATCTGTGCACATTTAACTTGAAGGTTTTTTGAGAGCATTCACTCTTCTTTTAACTACCCTAGGCAAGCTTTCAATGTATCCTGTTGATGTGTCTACCAGACCATCAAGTCTTTCTTGAAGCACTGCAAGAATCTGAGGATTTTGTATCATCTGAACAGTCAGCTGATGCGCTTTGATTTTTGTTTCTTCACCAGTTTCTTCTTCTACTTCTTCAACATCATCCAAATCTTGATCAAGTTCAGACTGTTCTTTTTGCCCATGTCTGCCATCTTGTAAGAACTGCAAATGTCAGTGGCTAGTTCCGGGAGTGAGGCAGCTGGAGATGCGCAGGGAATGACTAAGGGCGGCCGCAGCGGCAGGAGGAACAGGAGGTGGCACTGCAAGCAGATGGCACTTAAAAAAAAAAGCTATTTTAGATTTTAAGTAAGAGAAAACATATGTTTAAAGTTCAATAAGAGGAAATTAGGTGATGATTCTTAGCTATGATACCAAAAGCATGAACAACTAAGACAAAAGTAGTTAAGTGTGACATTAAAATGTAAACCTTTTGTTGGTTAAAGGATAGTATTAAGAAAATGGAAAGGCCACACATAGAAAGGAAGAAAATTACAATGGTACCTTAGTTCAC